CATAACAGGTGTTATGTTTATGAAAGTGTCATTACAGTCTTATTCACCCCCCTTCAAATAAAGTGTTACCCCAGTGATTGTTAAATCTGGTACAAACACATTATTAAATAAATCAATCAGAAATCTTTCATAATGTCTAATTACCATTATTACCATTATATTACTTGAAAATGGTCTCAAAACAACAATATTGTTTAATACAATAAATTCTGGGACAGGTTATCAACCAGCAAAATTAAAATTAGAAGATTATTTATCTGAAAGAGATAAATAGTTGCTCTTAGAATAATTCCATCCATCCATCCATCCATCCATCCATCCATCCATCCATCCATCCATCCATCCATCCATCCATCCATCCATCCATCCGCCCGCTTCAGGAACCATCATGCATTGCGATTGGACAGTAATTCAGTTAAACATTTCTGATGTTCTGCAGTTCACACTTGTTTACAGATGTTCAGAAACTCTTAGCTTTAGTTTGGACGATGAGGCAAACCGACCAATCAGAGCGTGACCTCCCATAACTGACCAATGAAATCCCGCCAGGACTAGCCACTCAGTAAACTTGGGAACCAAACCAAACCATCGTGAGCCTCACCCAGCAGAGGATCCTGATGATGGTCTGAGGCTGCCTGATGAAGGTCAGGGGATCGAAGGTGCCGCCGGCCTTCCCCGCTCCATATGCCTGGAATCCGTCCATCCACGCTGCCTGCTGACCCCAGACCAGCTCACAGCGGTTCGACCTTCCTCCTAGAGTCTGTTCTGAGAGGCTGGTCCCAGTTTACTGCATCAGTTTGGACCAGTTTACCCAGTTGGTCAGGATTTATCTCCTAACTGGTGTTTGTGCTTTCTTCTTCCTCTTGTCTGCTATTATAAAATGCTCAGTAATCTGCTCTAATCCTCCTCATCCTCCCTTCAGGGCTTTTCTTCCCTCAGTACTGTCTGACAGGCTGAAGACTCAACCAGCTCCACCAATCACACAGGAACATGCATCATGGGTTCAGGCTGTGGTTACAACCACCCAATCAGACTGAAAGAGGCGTAGTCTAACACAACTTTAATCAGATATTTTGTTACTATTTTAGATATTTTACATGAATTAGCATTGAATAAAGAACAAGTCACATCTGGTGATACATCTTAAACATGCAAGATAGAGGATCCTGAGAACCATAAAGAATATGGAAACCTGTTCAAAGTTCTCAAAGACAGTGTTTGTAGAAAGGTAAAGTCAGGTTCAAGTACGATTTACAACACTGCATATGTGGATGTTCAGATCCACTTCTAATGTGCAATATTTTTGAACTTTGCTTTTGAATAATACTGTAAGCAAAGTTAAAGAGTATTTGCAGTAAAATGTGAAGCATCCATATTTCACGTCATATTTTGTGTCTGCAAGATCAGACTTCCATGACAAAGACGTGTGTTCATAAAATAGTGTCAGGACCATTCTTCCTGATGACCGATACAGACACTTTTTTTTTTTTTAGGAAAAAACTGCCCATTTTGATCAGGAGAAACCTTTAGACGTGGGCAACTAGGTCATTCAGTTTTTACGAATTGTTCTAAAAAACACACAAAAGTGACTGAGAAAGCTGTCATAGATAAATGCAGTTATTTATTCAGTCCAACCCAACACACATACGACAAATCAATAGACATCTTAAGAAAAACACTGCCATCTGGTGGTTAAAATCAGTGACAACAGCTCATACAGTCAATAAAATGACAGTACATTCATTCACTTCATTCCAGTTTTATTCACTTATGTCATAAAACGAGAATTTAATAAAATGCTGCAGGCAGATCAGAGTGACTGTAACTGTCTGACTTTTGGCTTTTGTGTTTTATCACAATTAATGAACAAAAGAAATGATAAAGATGGAAAAATGGTTAAATATAAAACTGATACAAGCAAACACAAAATATACATCTTGATACATACTTTCTAAGTTTACTTCATAAGCAATGTAATATCGTTCACTTAAATAAGTCACAGTTGCATTGTGGGTTGTATCCAAAGAACAAAATGAGAGTAAGTTTCATGCCTGAGAGTGAGGGGTTCTGCTAGGAGCATCTGGACCAATCGGATCTCTGAGCTCAATTATTTAGGGCTGATCGTTTAAAGCAACAGTGAAACATTTTGTAAGGCATGAAGAGCTGGTTGGAGCTTCAGGCGAAGACGTGTTACTCAGTCATGTGACTCTCCTCAGCCAGTTGCTGCTCTCCATCGTCTTCACCACCACCATCATCATCATCATCAGTGGGGGGTCTGGTGCGCCTGAAGAAGCCCAGCTACACACACACACACACACACACAAACATGCACACACGCACACACACACCCACACACACACACACATAAAGACGGAGGAAACCCTAACAAGATGGAGGGGTGTGGACTTGTCATGTAGAGAACAACTTAAAAACAATACTGTGAGCTTCACCGCCACCAAGTTCTGCACCAAAACCTTCTGACTGAACAGAAGGTCAAAGGTCAGAGCAACAGCTTAAACCAAAAATAAAACCAAAACATCAGATTCAATTAGAAACTCATTAATTAAACATAATAAGGGAACCTGCTGAAAAGCAAACTGATTGATTGATTGATTGATTGATTGATTGATTGATTGATTGATTGATTGATTGATTGATTGATACCTTCCAGAAGATGAAGCAGAGCAGGCAGAGGAGGAGGAGTCCAAAGATGATTGACAGAATGATATAGCCAATAGGAACAGGTTTCTCTCCATCAGGAGGACGCCACACCACACTGAGCTGAGCCTGCGCGCGCGCGCGCACACACACACACACACACACACACACACACACACACACACACACACACACACACTTCTGGGTTCTGCTGGATATTATTTATTGATTTATTTAATGGCTATTGATTACCTGTGTGTGTCCACTCGTAAGCAGCAGTGGTTGGACCTTTGAAGGTGCGCTGATGACATCATAAAAGGCAGATGAAATTAGGTCATAGTTCAGGTAGGAGGTCTGAAGGACAAAACACAAAATGACAACAGAACCCTCACCTGCATGTGTGTGTGTGTGTGTGTGTGTCTGTGTGTGTGTGTGTGTGTGTGTGTGTTCATACATACCTGTGTGAGTGTGTGCAAATTAAGTCGAGCTGAGATTTTTACCACGGCGCTAAAGCCCCGCCCCAAATCCATGACATCACACTCAAACCGGACACACCCCGTCTCACTGCTGCTGCAGTTCTGAAACAAACATAACTCAGCCTCAGATCAGAGAAACGCACACCTGTAATATTTCTTAGTAACTTGAAGGTGTGTTCAGGTGTGCAGAGGAAGGAGTTATCACAGATTAGTGACTTTCATAAAGCGACTATAAAGGAGCAAAGCTGTTTTTACCACATGGATGGTTTGTCTGAGTGAGTTTGTCTCCTCCTGCTGGATGGGTTGAGAAACTGCAGCAAGACTGGCATTACCTACAAGCTGTAGACAGGTGAAAGTAAGACAGGTGAGCTGTAGACAGGTGAGGGTTAATTAATAAAAAGTAACGTGACGTTGTTTTACCTCTAAAGGCATCACCTCTGATGTGTTCACTGTCTGACAACTCAAGGACTCTTCTGACGGGGTGGAGATGACGTAGAGCAGGAAGTGATGTCGCCAGGTAGAAGGGAAGTCCACGGTCAGTCGGGCATTGACAGAACTGGGGCCCTGATTCCTGATCTACAAACCAGAATCATCAATAACATCAATGTCAGTTGATGAACAGCATGTTGGGCCTTCACCAGCTGGTGACTGGAGGTTCAGATCCACCAGAACCTGGACTTCCAGCAGCAAACCAGCAGAGCTCCTACTGCTCTACCTCATGTTCAGGTCCTAATGCCTCCAAAGATAAGTCAAAGCAACATCAAGCAGTGGGTTCTCAACAAGACATGGCAGAAATGTTCACCTGAAGTCTACCTGACCAGGCCTGATTCTCTGAACTGGATAACCTCCCACCAAATCAGTTTTATGAGCTGTGTCCAATGCTGGTCTTGTTTCTTCCAAGTCCTGTTAATATCCCTCATTACCAGGCGTTAACCTTACCTCATACACGTGCTCCATCAGTGGCCCGACTTCCTCCAGACTTCCAGGGTTACCTACAGGCTGCCAGTCCGGGTGGGGCAAGAGGATTTCTGGAGGGACGGACCCCCTGCAGAGACACCAAGACCTTACTGCAGTCAATCTGGATATCTGGTGTTATATCCAGAAAAGTTTTGAGTTATACCCTCTGATCTCCAGCGTGGCCTCAGCCTTCACCTGAACCTTCACTGTCACATGGTTACTGCTGGAGTTCACAGAGTTCTTACTGGTACAGAAAGGTGGCCAGAGAGTAAGACAAAGGAATATGAGCTTTCAGCAGTAAACCCAGGGTACCAGCGGAGTTTGTACCTTCGTATTCTTAGGCTGAAGGTGATGTGACTCTCCACCTCCTCCAGGTTGCCAAAGCTGAAGAGAAGACCAGTCTGGATCTGCAGGTAAAGGAGCCACAATCACTAAAGGATTGTTCTTCGCCTATGATTTCCTCTTATAGGGCTTGGTTTGACTCTAATCCCACTGGACTGAAGATTAGACTCTGCTTAGCAGATTGAGTGCTACAGCTCTTACAGCAGAGGTTAGCAACTCCAAACCTCCAGGTCTGAAGTTCTGCATCTTTTAGATGTTTTCCTTCTTAACCACATTTGGAAGATAATTTTGATTTGAATCAGATGTTTGAAACCTTTAGGTTGAAACTGATCCACCTCTGGTTTAGAGGAATTGGAGATTCACTCACTTTCTGTCTGTGTTTCATTGGGTTCCCGAGGTCACAGGTGACAACAACCGTCTGGTTTTCTTTCCTCTGAACACACACCAGTCGGTTTTCACCCTGCAAAGTAAAACCCGACAGGACTGTTCTTATTGGCTGTTGAAGTGGTTCATTTTTATCAGTATATCAGGAAGTGATGTCGCCAGGTAGAAGGGAAGTCCACAGTCAGTCGGGCATTGACAGAACTGGGGCCCTGATTCCTGATCTACAAGCCAGAATCATCAATAAAATCAATGTCATCAATAACATCAATGTCAGTTGATGAACAGCATGCTGGCCTTTACCAGCTGGCCAGCGCCCTCCAGAGCTCTCACCTGACAGCTCTGGAAGTGTGTGTGTTCAGGGAGTTGGACCACCAGCTCGGTCTCATACGCGCCCTCGCCATCGTTTGTAGCCGATACCAACAACAACAGGGACTGATCGTCTCCGATCAACACGCTGTCTGACACACTAATATCACACACCATGAGACACACACAAAACAATATGTCAGCACTTCAGTTCTTTAACCACTAAGCAGATTTAAATCAGGGATGCATTTATATGCTGATGATATAGTTATTTCTGTGGCTGTTCCGTCTTTATGTCTCAGTATTTTGCAGGCTGCCTTCCAATTACTGAAATTCTTAGTGGATTTTCTCATCAATATCCTGTTGACTCACGGTTTAGCGCTCAGCTTCAGGTCAGGAATGCAAATGTTATCATCCCCACAGTCCAGAATCAAACGGCTCTACAAGACACACAGACACTGTGGTTATCTTTAAACTCTGGTCCTGGGTTCAGTTCCTCCTCTGGCAGGAAGTAGGCTGCCTCACCTGGACTGTTGAGTGTGTCTGACCATGCAGCAGAGCATTCTGGGTAGGGATGAGGAGGCTGATCTCAGCAGTGATGAAGATCGGACTCAGTTTATCCCGAACTTCTTCTTCAGACTAAACACACAAACAGAACAGTGTAAAGTTTCTGCACCAACATTACTATCAAACCTTGTCTCCATGATGTGACAATTCAAAGAGCTCAGGTCTCTACAACATTGATTCCACCTGTAGCAGATACAGGTGTGACTGAGCTCATGTAATTAGTTTGTCCACTCACCCTCAGGTA